TTTTGTTAATTTTATAATGTTAAACTGTAATAATAACAAATAATTGTTAAGAAGTGATTATCAAGAACTGCTTAACAAAGTTTGCATTGTTGTCAGGCCCCGCCCCCTCCCCTGCCCCGCCCCGCCTCGCCCCCCATCAGTGGTGTCCCACTTTACCAATGTTAAAATCTGGTCACCTTAACAATAGGGTTTTGAGAGGTTTCAGAAGATAACAAGGAAAGCTAGGAAAGAGAGCTTGGGCTTGTCGATGGTAGAAGATAGGCATTTTTTTCTTAGCATTTGAAATTTTTTTATGAAAGTCTGGCATAAATCTTTAGAAAATTAGAACTTCAGTCCAACTTGCTAAGAGTACCACTTATAAGATGGGTGCTCTTTTCAACAGAGGCTCTATGAAAATACAGGACAATGGAAATCCCACGTGGCATTCCGTTCACTGGCATAATTAGTCACATTACATGACTGTCTTTCACTGGTCATTGCCTTTTAAAGTATTACATGTTATAGGCACATAATGGGATAAATGTTACCGAGAATTTGTTTTTATTTTTGTGCTTTTTAAATCAGCACTCAAAACTCAGACTGAGGTTTACAGATTCCCTCAGGGCACCCCAAGGAAGAAGCTACAAACAGGCTTTGAGTGAATTCTCGCTACTGAGATGGGCTCAGCAAAAACTGGACCAGGTCCAGAGGCCACTCCGGAGGGACCACTGGGCAGGAAGTCAGTCAGTCATGAGGCAGCAAATTTTTCTGCATTTAACTTGGAGCTGATGAGTCCCAAAAGATTGAGAATGGAAAGTTGCTCATGCTTCAAAGTCCTTTACTGAATAAAGGAACTTGATCCACAGTTAGCAGGATCCTGCACTTTAGGGGTGGGATGTGAGGCAAAATACTGGCCAGAAAAGAAGAAAGAAAACAGAGCAAGATTCCAAATTCAGAACTTAGGTAACAGCTCAGAGTAATGTATATCATCCAGAGGGCTACCTTGAGACTACTGTGGGCTCCATAGAGGTAACCCAATACCTCTTGATGCCCTGGTCCCAAATCTGACTGGCAATGAGGAATATACAGAGGGTGACTCAAAAGTCTGGCCTTTGGCTCAGCACCTGTGGCTCAAGTGGCTAAGGTGCCAGCCACATACACCTAAGGTGGCAGGTTCGAATCCAACCCAGGCCCGCCAAAACAACAATGACAGCTGCAACCAAAAAATAGCCGGGCGTTGTGGCAGGTGCCTGTGGTCCCAGCTACTTGGGAGGTGGAGGCAGGAG